GATACAGAACAGCCTGTGCACACACCTACACCCACCCCACACTGCAGTGGGTGAACCCACAGCCCCAGCTAGTTCATGATATTCCAGCCATGACGTCCTTACCTGAAGAGGCTCTCCCGTACCAGGTCTCCCGGAGAGGTGGAAGTTCCAGGTGGAAGATGGGTTTTCCCCACTTTTCCATGTCTGATGGGTGCAGGCTGGGCTGTCCTGGCACACTGGGGAGCCGGTGCAGGGCAGAGAGAGAAGGCAGCTCCTCTGTGGGGCGCATCGGTGCCACCTTGGTCACCTTGGGGTGTGCCTTGGAAGAGCTCAGGCCCATTTTGCAGAGTAGGGGCTTTGAAAGGGGAGGAAAATGCCTTCATGCACTGTCCTTCCTGAACAGGGAGGGATCTTTGTGAGTGACTGTGGAGCCTGGGCAACTCCCTGCTGGCTCCACACGTCCTTCCCAGCTGGGTTAAACATTGACCTGTCCCCAGCCATTCCCCTGAAGGGATGAGAGGAGCCTGCTGCTGATAGAGAAGGGGAACTCAGTCCAGGGAACCACCACTAAGCCCTGGGAAAGCTTTGTTTTTGCCTACAAGTGGTCTTTAACCAGGACCACTGTCTGACTGGGGGTATTTCTACAAGCAGCTCTTCTGCTAAATCTCCAGGTTTTGGAAGGAAATTCAATCCCTGGAGCACCAGAAGGGTTAAAACACCTCCCACCCTGCAGGGGAGAAGTCGCCTCTCTGCATGGGAACAGAGGCTGGTCCAGGAGCATCCTCTGCTCTTTCTCCTGCTGGCTGGAGGTACTGCTGGAAAAAATGCAACTTTAGCGCAAACCCACCTGGGAAAGCTGGCAAAAGTAAATCATATTCGGTAGTTCATAGAATCATAGAATCCCAGAATGGCTTGGGCTAGAAGGGACCTTAAAGATCATCTTGTTCCAACCCCTGCCATGGACAGGGACACTTTTCACTAGACCAGGTTGTTCCAAGATCCATCCAACCTGGTCTTGAACACTCCCAGGGATGGGGCAGCCACAGCTTCTCTGGGCAACCTGTGCCAGGGCCTCACCACGCTCATAGCCAAGAATTTCTTCCTACACTGAGAGTGGCATTCTGGAGTTGCTGCAGGATTTGAAAGGCAGCAGGATTGGGGCATAAGGGAAATACCTGCCCTTCTCCATCTGCTCCCAATGTATATGAGAGTGTTCTGAGGGCAGAATCCCCTCAGAGCTGTAGGAACAACTCATTTCCAAGACGTGGTGGTTGGAAAACAGGTAGTTAGGATCATTAATGCAAGAAGATTGGTAGTGCAGGGTGGGATTTGTGACAGGAGTAGGGTTGTGGGAGGAGGTCAGAGCACCTGTGAGCTCAGATGTGAAACACCTGGGAACCAGAAAACACCAAGAGTGTGAGGAGGAGCCGAAAATATCACCAGAGAAAGGGTTCACTTAGTGGGGGCTTATCCCACAGGAATTCCTGGAGTAATCCTGTGGAGGTTTGCAATGATTGGAGCCTATTTTGGCTTTTCCAGTGGGACAGGATATCCAGGAGAAGGGTTGCAAGGGGAAGTAAGGGTCATGGCAGAGCCAAGCATCCATCATTTGTGGCCAATAAATCCATGGGTGAAGCCCTCAACTCCCCCTCGATGGAAATAGGGAGATTTTGAGCTGCAAAATGACACCAGCCAAGGGTGGCACCTACTAGAAGGAACTATTCATCCCTAGGAACAATCCAACCAGTTCATGTTTTCACCCAAAAAGCACTGTCATGACTTGTGATTTTGCTTTACAGCAGGTCACACATGGCACAAGGATGTGGATGAAGGCCTTTTAATTAAATCCCAGCTCTCTGTAAGAGCCTTGGGGCTCTCGGGTGCTCCTGCTCAGACCTGTGCTGAAAGGTGGGTGACAGACCCTGCTGGCAGCTGCTTGGCTCGGTCTCTGCAGGTCCAGGCAGAAGCCAAGGCTGCTGTTCCCAGCCTTCCCCCTTCCCCTGCCCCTCTGCCAAGTGCACTCCATGTTGTGGCCGTGGCCCTTCAGGACAGGGCCCTTTGCAGCCTGCA